CGCCCCAAATCCTTGATAAAGGAGTCTCTGAATAATAGGCCCTGGGCATCTTTGCCCGCTTCAGTGAGGGTGAGGTTGGCCAATTTTGGTTCAATTTTGAAGAGGATGGCTTTACGCCGCTCTTTAGACAGGGAAGTGTTTACCCTCTGCACCCAACCGCGGAGTTCTTCCGGGTCGACCTGTCTGTTTTCCGTTCTGGCTAGTTCGACCAGGTCAAATTACTAAGGGGGCGCCGTACCCAGTTCTCCAGGTACTTGGCTACATGGGCGCCATTCTGCTGACCTCGGATGATGGAGAGCATCCGGATCAAACATAGGTTCCCCAGACGGGTCCATGAGGGTCGAACCCACGGTAGCGGGGGAGTCACTGCGCCAGCCACTAATTACCAACCCAGATAGGGCAGGGGCTAAAGGGTCATTGTCCTGCCCGTCAGTCTCATCATTGGAGTCATCTAAGGACTCATCTCCAGCACAAGACCCGATTTCTGAGTCGGAGTCGCTCTCTGCATCTGCTCTGGCACATTTCCAGTGACGCGCCCATTCTGCCTGGCGCGGAAAGGCTCTCTTGCATGACATAGGCATGCTGTCATGGGTGGATATTTTCACACCAGTCTTAATGTTTCTGGAGGCGGGGGTGCTTAGATGCCTAGATTTGGTCGTGGCTTTTCTAGGGATGTCCCCTGAGGGGTTCAAAGAGGAACACGCTAAGCGCGTTGGCGAGGCGGATGCTTCTGCGGGCACAGGGCATGTGTCACGGTTCTCGCCACATCAAACAGACGGCTAGACATGGTCACCCGTGGAGATCCCAACAAGGGACTTGAACCGGGGAACTTTGCAGTCCTGGTCCTGCTTCCTACCTCTGAGCCACAGCAGCTTTTGTATTCTGCAAGTCATTCCGGTCCTGTTCATCCTGGCTTGTCTATCACTCTGGGGGCTGTACCTTGAATTTGGCTGTGCTGCACTTGAACCTGATCAGACATTAGCAGGGTATTTATACTCAGCCTCGCCCTGTGATCAGGATCAAGTCTTTGATCCTGTTGTGTGCTTTGTACCAGTGTTCCTGTTGTTTGAACTGCTACTTGTTATTGACCCCGGCTTCTGACTACGTTTACTCTGACCTCTGGCATCCCTTGACTTTGGCTACTCCTCGTTGTTCCTGTCTTCTGGCATCCTTTGACCTCGGCTATCCTTTGACGATCCTGCTGTTTGAGTCCTTGCCTGTCCTGCGACTTGGTACTTCATCCTGCACAGCCCCCGTGCACAGACCCACAGGCTGGGTGAATTCTTACCTGACCACCTTGGCCTGTGGCTATCTGCAAGGGTGAGCAACATATCTGCGCTACAGACTCCCAACCCAGGTAAGATCCTGACAGCATGCCAGTAAAGCCTGAGATATAGTTTGGGAAAGGGCCGAGGACATAGAGCCCATGGCGGCCATAATGGCGTCTGTAACAGAACGTTGCAGTGCTAGGGCCTGGGCATCATCAGGCACCGACATAGGGTCACCCGCAGAGGACGGGGGGGCAGAGCTGGCCGAGTTAGGGTTATCCAGCTCACGGGGTACATCCATATCCCCAAGGGGGAGTGGGGTAGCAGACCCATTAGATTTAGGCATAATGACTATATTAAGTATCCCAGAGACACAAGTAAAAAAAATTTATATATAGTAATATGAGCTGCTGAGTGAATAAAATAAGAATAAACTGATAGAGGAAGCCTCAACTAGCAGGAGTTAATCACCCCAGGCTAGTTATGCTAATAGGAGATAAATTAGGGAGCTCTCCAGGGTCCAGATCGGCAGAGGCCACGAGGAGTGGCAAGGAGAGTGAGTGATAGAAAATGGCTGCCCTCAATCTCGCGAGATTCGCGGCGGAATTCTAACAGAAAAACGGAAAAAGAACCGAACGTTCGGCTGAAAACAGCGAATACATATGGAGCCATAGAGGGGAACATAGAAAGGTGCGAATTAGGCAGCCATTCGCATAGAAATTTGAACGCGGCAAACGGCGAATAGGCAAGTGAATAAGGTAAGCTAGCGAATAGAGGAATTCGTGAGAATGGCCAAATAGTATAGGGTATGAAGGAGGAGAAGAAAAACTGCCGAACAGGATGACGAGAATAGGCGCAAAGGGCGCCAAAGTGACTGGCAGAACGGCAGATAAGAGAAAATGTAATGGAGGGAGGAAAAAAGTCTCGAGAGCTTTACAAAGGATACAAGTGAAAGGTAGATATCGAGCTAAAGCTGGAAAAAGGGGGGGGGGGGTCTGGAACCCTGGGCTCAAATAAAACTACATAATAATCACCAAAACATATGAAGAAACTGCAAGTGAATAACCAGTGAATAGTACAAATTGACAGGTAGAGAATTACTGTCAAAAGTGACAATAAGCAGTAGACAAAACCATAAGTAATGATAAGGAGAAAAAATAGACTGTACTTATCTGTTTGGTAGCAGCAAAGAAAGAGGAATTGGGTGGGGAGGTGCTGCCTATTATACTGGGACTTGATATGGGAGTGACCTATCACTATGGTTACCGTTTTTTCTTACTGTTTGTATTCTTTGCTGCTATTGGTGGACAGTAAAGAAAGGGATATGCAATATGAGCCTCTGTGCAGTGGCGTGCACATGACCCATGGGGCCCCGGTGTGAAAATTGATCCGTGGCCCCCCCCCCACCGCGCTTACTCGGCACAGGTCAGGGCCGCAACACATGGCGGCGGGCACCTGGTCGCAGGGGTTGCAGGGCTGCGACCCCACGACCGCGGTATGCACACACACACTTAAAGGACCACTACAGACACCCAGATCACATCAGCTCAATGAAGTGGTCTGGGTGCCAGGTCCCTCTAGTTTTAACCCTGCAGCTGAAAACATAGCAGTTTCAGAGAAACAGCTATGTTACACTGAGGGTTAATCCAGCCTCTGGTGGCTGTCTCATTGACAGCTGCTAGAGGAGCTTCCGCGATTCTCACTGTGAAAATCACAGTGAGAAGACACTGAACGTACATAGGAAAGCATTGAGTAATGCTTTCCTATGGGCGGTTTAAATGCGCGCGCGCCTCTTGCCGCGCATTTGCACTCGGAGCTGAGAGGTGGAGGGATTCCCAGCGCCAAGGGAGTCCGACGCTGGAGAAAGGTAAATGCTGAAGACACACACACACTCTCACGAACAGACGCATACACACTAGCTAACAGACACACACATTTCCTGACAGAGACACACTCAGCGACAGACATACATACACACTCACTTACAAAACATACACTTTCACTGACAAACACACACTAACAGACATCAAACACACACAGTAACACACTCACTAGCAGACACACACCCAATAACAGACACACACACATACACTAACACACAAACACTAACACACACACACTAACACAAACATTAACACACTAACACACACACACACTAACACACAAACACTAACACACACACACACACTAACACAAACATTAACACACTAACACACACACACAAACACTAACACACACTAACATACACACACTAACACACACACTAACAGACACCACAAACACACACTAACAAACATTTTTTTTAAAATTTAATCCCCCCAGCCTCCTTACCTTTTGGAGTGCTGGAGGGATTCCCTGGGGTCCAGTGGTGCTGCTGGGCGGGCTGGCTGTCTGGGTGGCCGGCGCGCGAGGGAGCACTCTGGATGCCGGCGGTGCGCGAGGGAGCTGAAGAGGAAGCACTCAGGGGAGAGTGCTCCCTCGCGCGCCGGCCACCCAGACAGCCAGCCCGCCCGCCGGGGTCAGCAGGGCCAGCCTCGGGGGGGGGCCCTGAGGTGGCCGCCTCCTGGGCCCCCAGGAGAAGAGGCTGGCCCTGTGGGTACATACCGGGTTGCAGGGGCGGCCAGGCCCCATGGTGGGCTGGGCCCGGTCGCAGCCGCAACCCCTGCGACCCTGGTATGTACGCCACTGCCTCCGTGTCTTGACATAAAATTACAAATTTACTTGTATTGCACTCTGCCATCTACTTTTTTTAAATGGTTTAACGCTAAATGGAATGATGGTTCCAGGGAATTCTTGACACGAAGCAGTCAACTGAGATGAAGCAGTTACAGTGCCTACTGTGTTTCTTTAAATTTGAACTGCAGAGAGCGGCAATATTGTGAATATCCCATGTAAATTGCTTATCTGGTAATAAAAGTTATGAGATTGGTATAGAATAGGACCTTGCAGACAATATGGGATTAGAGGAAGACATTATGGGATCCTTGCAGTGTGTTAAATAGAATGTCCTTTTGTGCACACAGTTAACAGAGGAGGTCGGGCTGCACACTGTTCGACAGAGGTACTTCAACAGACACATTGTTTTCATTACTGGGACCACTAATGGCATTTATGACTGCTGGTGTTGTTTGACCTGCCAACTACTGATGTCCATAGAATCTGTAAGTCCCTTTTGGTTCCGGTTTACATAAGGCTCTACATCCTTAAAGGTAAAGTAGAAGTGGATATAGGCATTGTGCGCATGTTAATGCTCACTATTTATTATCTATTATCCTTCCATATCTTCATCCCCCTTATGTTCCCATCATCCCCCTTATGTCCACCCAGATGATACATAACTCTGTATTATAAACTATTATGAGCACATGATTTTTCACCCTGCAAATCCAGGCCCCTTCCCAGACATCTAATGCAGCAGCGGTGCAAAGGCGCATCATTTGCTCGCTCCCACCCCTTGCCCTGTACGTAGGGACAGGTGGGCGGGAGGACAGCATGAAGTGGGTCTCAGAGGGTCAGTGTGTGTGTGTCTGCATGGGCCAGTGTGTTTGTATGTATGTGACTGTATGGGTCAGTGTGTATCTGTCTGCTTGGGTAAGTGTGTGTCAGCCTACATAAATTAGTGTATTTGTGTCAGTCTGCTTGGGTCAGTGTGTGCAGTTTACATAGGTCAGTGAGTGTATGTGTGTGTCTATATGGATGAGTGTGTGTTTCTTTATGGGTCAGTGTGTGCGTGTGTGTGTGTGTTCATCAGTCTGCGTGGGTCAGAATGTGTGCATCAGTTTGCATGGGTCAGTGTATGTGTGTGTGTGTGAGTCAGTTTGTATGGGTCAGTGTGTGTGTGTCAGTTTGAATGGGTCAGTGTGCATGTGTGAATCAGTCTGCATAGGTGGGTGTATATGTGTGTGCCAATCGCCATGGTTTAGTGTGTATGTCTGCTTGGGTCAGTGTGTGTCAGTCTGCATGAATCAGTGTGTGTCTACTTGAGTCAGTTTGTATGTTTCAGTCTGCATGAGTGGATGGAGCGAATGAGGCGGCAAAAATCCTTGCACCGGCCCTGATTCTTGGATATGGTTTTGTGTCAGCTAAGGCAAAGTTAAGGTTTTATTAATTTTTAAGACATTTTTTGCTTTAAAAAAATGATCTGCTAAATGAATACATGCTTTGAACCTTGCCTCTGTAACCAAGGTACCATTACTATTTTCAGAAGTAAATTATTTTTTCTTTTCATTCTTTTGCTATTCAAATAGGATTTAACACAGCTTTTGTTTGCTATAATTTTCTAATTTTCCACTGGATAATCTGATTATTTCTTTTTAATAACAGTGGCTTTCAAATACTACTAACCCTTCTGACTTAACCCTTCATGGCAAGGGTGTAAGCAACCTAATTTATATCAAGTCCTGGCAATCTGGCACTAACAGGTTAAAATATTTTTAAAAGAGATATATATATATATATATATATATATATATATATATATATATATATATATATATATATATATATATATATATATATATATATATATATATACACATATACATATATATATATATATATACACATATACATACCATTATGTTCTACTTTTTCATTTTTATCCAAATGCATAAAACTTCTCTTAATTGATTTGAGAAAAGAGTTGAAATTAAGAGCTCTAGTAAATCTATACATCGTATAAATACACTTCAAAATTATCCCTGTTTAAAAACTCTTTTCTTACTTGAATACTTACTTTGCAAAGTCTTTGAGCAGTCTATGATTTCCAAATCCAGATTCATTACTGGTTCTGCTCACCCACAAATTTAAACATGAAAATACTTTTGTACATATCCCCAAAAAACCAAAAAAATAAAAAAATTATACCTGTTACCAAAACCTCCATTTTGATATTGGATGGGAAATTAATTGTTTTACCTATGCAATTCTTAGTGAATATTCCCCTAGACATACAGAGCTATACATATATGCATTAACCTATAAATGTATTGCATACTGAGACATTGATTTAATAACATATATTATCCTATATCAGTCTGAGGGGGAGGATTGTTAACTAGCTGTTAGTACAAAGCTATTGACTTTTTCTGTCTTTCTTTGATTCCTCACTAGAGCTTCACGGTTTTCTCTCTTAATCCTGTATTAGCCTGTGAGATAAATCTGTCTGTTGGACAGATAGGGAGAGGTTGATAATGGGTTTGGCCGTTTGCTTTTGTACCAGATTCAATTTAGACTTAGGAGTTCTTGAGATCTGGATGAGAGAGAGCTAGCTCTGCAGTCGAGAGTCACCAGTAGGGTGATTTCTGTAATTTAGGGTCACCATTGGGGGGATGTCTGTTATTAGGTCAGTTAGTCAGGGAGACTCTCAGTGAGTCTACAGATGGATTTATTATCTGTTTAGCTATTTAGAAGGGATTTAAAGTGTGATACACTTTGTCCCTTATTGGATTCTCCTATGTTAAAAGTGTTAATCCTGCTTTCCTTGGTCCTCTTATTATTTTTATAGCATAAGATTTATGACTTGCAATGAACATTTTACCGAATGGAGTATGATGCAAATGTTATAAGAATGTAGGATTTGTATGTTTGTTATTAATTAACTCAATGAGCTATGTTTGCTGTGACAGAATTTGTAATCTGAACGAGTGATTACATTTTAAATGAGCCTGGTACAATTTTTTAAAAGACCGGGACTTTGCCTTAGATTAGAAAAACACTTCTAGGGATAGTTTCATAATTCCTGTTATCTGGACAGAGTGATACACCACCCCCATTAATGAATCACATGACGGTGCATTTTTCACCTTGCACCACAGCACCACGGCGTGTGTTTTCTCTCTTCCACAGGAACTGACTGATATTCTCAGCAGCCAATCTGTCCTCACTGACAGGCACTCAAGAGGTTAAATTGACAATAGACCCAGTGATAATTTAAGGGCCACAGTACTAACCCCCCATGTCAGTTGATTCAGCTTTAAATGAATACACCCTCTTGGGTTGTAAAAAGTTTTACCACTAAGGTATCTCTCATTTACTGTGTTCTTTTAAAATTGTAAAAGCGTACTAAAATATTGAAGGATTTTTGTTTGATTTTTTTTATTCCTTGTTACCACAACTAAAAAACAAACAAATATTACATTGGGGACACAGAGACATGGGGACACAGACACCGTGAGACATGGAGACACAGGTAGACCTCTGGGGATGCTGAGACACTTGGGGACACTTGGAGACACAGGGACACACACACATGGGGACACTGAGACACATGGGGACACAGGGAGACCTCTGGGGACACAGACACTTGGAGACATGGGGACACTGAGAAATGGGAGCACTGAAACACTAGGGGATGCTGGGAGATATGGAGATACAAACACACATGGGGACACTAGGGGACACTGAGATATGGGGAAACAAACACACATGGGGACACTAAGACACTTGGGGACACTGGATGACATGGGGACACTGAGACACTAGGGAGACAATGTTCCCAAGTGTCTCAGTGTCCCCATGTCTCCCAGCCAATGTCCCTGGTGTCCCCATGTCTCCCAGTGTCCCTAGTGTCTCAGTGTCCCCATGTCTCCCAGTGTCTGTGTCTCCATGTCTCCCAGTGTTCCTAAGTGACTCGGTGTCCCCAAGTGTCATGGGGACACTGGTAGACACGGGGACACAGACACTAGGGGACACTGAGCAAAATGGGGACACTGGGAGACATGGGGACACAGAGACATAGGGACACTGTATTACATAGTTTCAGTGTCCCCAAGTCTCCCAGTGTCCCCCCAAGTGTCTCAGTGTCTCCAGGTCTCACAGTGTCCCCTAGTGACATGGGGACACTGGGAGACAGGGCGACACTGGGGGCAATCCAGGTATACAGCAGAATGAAACTGTAAGTAGTTTTTTGTAAGAGTAGTAAGAGTAGCAGTAATTTACTCTTACTCTTTGTGATTTACATCATGTGATGTCACACATACATAATTAGTTATGCAAATTAGTAGAGGCCTGTATTTTTTCCAAGAAAGGTGGCAACCCTAACTACTCTTCACATACTCTTGCTTAAGTATGGAAACTTAAGAGGGATATATGAAAACAAAATGTGTGTGGACTAGCTGAAATGTAATCAGTTAAGGTAATGCTGACTTTGGTCTCTCTAAAACTGTGGCATATTCCCTTTCTTCTACATTCACTACATCCACCTTTTCTCTGTCTCAGACTGTATACCAGGAGCTTCTGTCTGCTAGTAAGGAGATAAGTGGACATGTGAGTGCTAGGGGACAGTTATTAGAAAGCATGGATTGAGCACATAATTAGACGCATTTATGCCAAGCTCAGGATGCTGTTGGCCAGCATGCATGATTGGTAGGCAGCCTGACATGCATTCATGCCAGGCAGCCTTCCAATTCTTTGGGCAGACATGCCTCCTTTTTGGGCATGTTCGTACCTTTCGGGAGTTTGGGTTATATGTTCTGCATAAGTTGCCCACCTTTTTACACCGCCCATTGACTTCCTCATTCACTGGACACTGCTGTTAGGGGGTATGGATTTACTTGAACGATGAAAGCATGAATTAGAGAGAGATTATCATATTTTAAGAGAGTCTGAGTTGTCTTATAGCTGCATCCTGTTAGTTTCCCTCCGGCAACATCTCCACTAGATACATAACCCTTAAGAGGTATGACTGTTTTTGTTCAATAAGATTCTGTACCTAGGCCCCTCATAATTGCCAGCACCAGGCCCACTGGGTTCTTAATCTGGCCCTGCTCTTAGGTGATAGATATTGATTTTATTAATCAGCCACAGACTTATTCTGTCATGGTCCTGGCACCATGAAAAAAAAAAAAAAAAGAGGTAGTATGGTTTATATGAAGTAAGATTCATTTATTGAACCTCATTATAAAATTATATTTTAACCCCTTAAGGACAAGCCTGTTTTTGCGATGTTGTATGTTAAGGACCAGATCAGTTTTGACACTTTTGTGGTGTTTGTGTTTAGCTGTAATTTTACTCTCTCTCATTTAGGGTTCCCATACAAGTTATATATTGCTTTTTTCAGGACAAGAAGGGCTTTCTGTGACAGACCCATCCGTATGGACTAAAAGTACTGTGTTCGTCTGTTTTGCCATTTGCATGAATTTCCCCATTCCTATGCCTTAGGTAAGGGAATGTATTTTTTTTGTCGAACGGAACTACCGAACGGACGGCCACCCCGAAGAGAAGTATGATGCTGGTTAACCTATTGATCCCAATTAGAACGTTGCGGTTAACCACAGACACTTCTCAATTAAAACCGAATACTGGGTGGTCGCCGTTCGTATGTCGACCACGAGGCGGTGGCCATTTTGACTATGTGAAAGCCCAGCGGTGTTCGACGATTATTTCATGGAACTCAAAACGGACACTTTTTCAACCGAACACCGCTGAAGCCGTCGACCTCCCCTTCTCAATCGACAAAAGCATACGAATACCGGCCGTTCGGGAGATTTAACAACACAAATGGACTTAACCCAGATAGCCTTCCCATGGAGTCAATCGCATACCGAAGAGCTGTAATAGACTTTGACTCCATGGCGATTGAACTATGCGTATGGGATCTGAGCGCTATTCGCCAATAATATGCACTCAGATCCAGGCTATCTGGGGATGTGTTATACGAATGCAATACGTTCGGCAGTTATAAAGTTATGGATTTTAATGTGTTTTATAACTTTAAGTTAAAATGGTGATGTGCCTCTGCTCGGGGAGATAATTGAATTACTTCCCAATTATCTCCCGAGCAGAGGGGAGGAAACTGTGATGCATGCTGGGAATATTATGGGGTTGTATGTCTGTTATTTCAGTCTCCCATTTGGTCCCCTAGGGGAGTGTCCACCAAGTGGGAGACCTGCATAAATACGGGCAGGTAGCCCACAGTAAACTCAGTTCGTGTTTTACCCTCAAAGCGGAGCTTGGTCTCGTTATTGGGGGGATTTTATTACCGGCGACTAGAGACTGCTTATTGGGATTATTTGCCGCTTGGGAACTATTGCCGTTCGGCTGCTCTTGGCGATTCGTGCATTTGGAGCTCGAGAAGGGAAAGAGCCGTACAGGTACCGTTCGGGAGTTTGGAGTGTTCCCTAGCTGGTGGTTCGCATGGTTACACTGCATACGCTACCAGACCACATTATTGCGAACGGGGAGCATTCACTAAACGGCGGTTTGTGCATTTACTACTGGAGGTACCGTAACACTTTCTTTACATACCATTATTTGTATCATGTCATATATTTTATTTAAAAAAAATAATTATAAAATATGGTGAAAAATTGAAAAAGAAAACATGTTTTTGGATTTTTACTTGAAAAATCTTTTACTTATCTACAAAAGCTAATGAAAAAAACTGCTAAATAGATTAAACATGTTGTCCTGAGTTTAAAAACACCCAGTGTTTACATGCTTTATTGCTTTTTTTTGCAAGCTATAGGCCTATAAATACAAGTAGAAAATTGCTGTTTCAATATATATATTTTAAATTTATCAATAGTGACATTGTAACACCGTTATCTGTCATAAATCCCCGAATCACACCTCACATATACATATTTTTTTAAAGTAGACAACCCCGGGTATTCAATATGGGGTATGTCCAGTCTTTTTTAGTAGCCACCTAGTCACAAACATTGGCCAAAGTTAGCATTTATATTTGTTTGTGTGTTAAAATTGCAAAAAACGCTAGCTTTGGCCAGTGTTTGTGACTAAAAGTGGTTACTAAAAAAGGCTGAATATACCCCATTTGCAATGCCTTGGGTTGTCTTCTTTTGCAAATGCGCAGGGCCGCCACCAGAAATTTTGGGGCCCCTAACTCAGCTTAGGGTCTGGGACCCCTGGGGCCCGCCTCCAAATACCGCCCACAGGGTCCGCCTCCAAATACCACCCACAGGAATACACACACAGACACAAACACTGATACAAAAGGACACAGATACATACTAACAGACACACATACTGAAACAGACATACACGCATACAGGCATACATACTGACACACACACACATACATTTAATACTACAATGTTTTGTGTATTTCCTATTATATATTCGACCATAATACCGAACTCTATTAAATGTTGTTATTTGTTGCTTAATTATTATATATAAATTAATATTCATATTTAAGTCACGACTATAACACTAATAGAGTTCGGTATTATGGTCGAATATATAATAGGAAATACACAAAACATTGTAGTATTAAATGTATATTTAATATAATTATAATAACAATTAAACAAATGCTAGCA